TTTGTCATGCCTTACCTTATCTTTAGGGTTTTGTTGCCCTATCTGGGCTTTCTTTGCCATGCCTTGCCACCTTGCCTTTGCTTGGCCTTTATTTGCCTTACCTTGCCTTACCCTTTCTTTTTAGGGTTTGGTTTTACCTTGACGTGCCTTTCCCTATTTTAGGGTTTGGTTGTGTCCTTGCCGTGTTCACAGGGTTTCTGTGTCCTTTACCTTACCTTTGCCGTGTTCACAGGGTTTCTGTGTCCTTTACCTTACCTTTGCCGTGTTCACAGGGTTTCTGTGTCCTTTACCTTACCTTTGCCGTGTTCACAGGGTTTCTGTGTCCTTTACCTTACCTTTGCCGTGTTCACAGGGTTTCTGTGTCCTTTACCTTACCTTTGCCGTGTTCACAGGGTTTCTGTGTCCTTTACCTTACCTTTGCCGTGTTCACAGGGTTTCTGTGTCCTTTACCTTACCTTTGCCGTGTTCACAGGGTTTCTGTGTCCTTTACCTTACCTTTGCCGTGTTCACAGGGTTTCTGTGTCCTTTACCTTACCTTTGCCGTGTTCACAGGGTTTCTGTGTCCTTTACCTTACCTTTGCCGTGTTCACAGGGTTTCTGTGTCCTTTACCTTACCTTTGCCGTGTTCACAGGGTTTCTGTGTCCTTTACCTTACCTTTGCCGTGTTCACAGGGTTTCTGTGTCCTTTACCTTACCTTTGCCGTGTTCACAGGGTTTCTGTGTCCTTTACCTTACCTTTGCCGTGTTCACAGGGTTTCTGTGTCCTTTACCTTACCTTTGCCGTGTTCACAGGGTTTCTGTGTCCTTTACCTTACCTTTGCCGTGTTCACAGGGTTTCTGTGTCCTTTACCTTACCTTTGCCGTGTTCACAGGGTTTCTGTGTTCTTTGTTTTGCCTTTGCCTTGTTCGCATGGTTTATGTGATCTACCGACCAACCGGCTGCACTTGGATTTGGTGTTGCCACCGACAGACCGAAATGATTAACTTCGATGTGGCCTTTGCTCCACGTGTGGCCCACCATGTAGTGGTCCCACGTGAGGGGGCATGTTAAAGTGGATCGACATTCTATTAAGAAGAAGCTTGATGCGGAAATATTAATAACGACAGTCTCTCTTTTGGCAAGTTGGTCATTGATGATATCTATGCACCAACTTGAGGGGGAGTGTTAGCAATAGTCAATTAATGTGTTAATTATGTAGTAAATTAATGTGTTAATTATGTAGTCAATTAATGTTTGGCACCTACAATATTTGGGGGGCTTGACTAGGTTGGTTGCCTAACTAGTTTGGTTGCCTAATTAGTTTGGTTGCCTAACTTGGGGGGCTTGACTAATGTCTTAGGAACTTGTATATATATGTGTTGATTGTAAGGAATGAAATATAAGTGAAAATCAGAAAATATTCTACAACTCTCATTCTCTCTACACTTTCCACTCTCTACTCTCAATATTCTCTATGTTTTAGCAGGAAACTCTAACCCTAGGTTCCACCAGTCAGTTATGGTGATAATAATGGGACCTTTGATGAGAAAAGTTCTGGCATAGTTGGTCTTGGAGGTGGTAATGAATCCCTAATTACACAATTGGGTGCTTCTATAGATGGGAAATTTTCTCATTGCTTGGTCTCAATTCAATCACAAGCAAGTTGAACTTTGGTACCAATGCTGTGGTTTCAGGCTCTCAAGTTTGTGTCCACTCCCATTGTCCAAGGCCTATACCCTGAAACCTTCTACTTCTTAACCGTGGAAGCAATAAGTGTTGGTGACATTAAATTTGCTTTTTCACCCTCAACTTTCGCCAATGGGGAGGGCAACATTATTATCGATTCGGGCACCACATTGGCCTTCTTTCCATTCGATTTCTACGCAAATTTGGAAGCTGAAGTTGATAAAGCGATTGGTAGGGAACGCATGGATGTCCCTAATGTTCCTTTGAGTCTTTGCTACAAGAGTAGTGAATCTGAAGCGGAGTTCAAAGCCCCCACCCTCACCGTGCATTTCAAAGGCGTTGATGTATGAAGCTGGATGCTGCCCACACCTTTGTTAGAGCTAGTGAGGAGGCTGTGTGCTTTGCTGTTAAAGTATTAGGTACTGATTTGGATTTTAGGGAGAAAAAGGGAAGGAGATGAGAGAAGGAGCTGGAAGAATATATGTTTCTGCAGAAAAACGTATTAGCTGCTGTGCTAAAAAGCTCAGCTATATTTCTCTTCTTTTTATCAAACGATTTACATCAGCAAAGGTACAAAATTGAACCACCAATGTGTGTATGACACTTGGCAATTTCCTATAGGCATTTGAGCCACACAAAATTCTCCTAGCAGAAAATACATCTAAGTTGTTACTTAGACATTCCAGCTGTAAGCAGTAAAACAGTAACAGTAAATCAGTAAACCAATTTACACATCAACACTCCCTTCTAAATGGTTTGCTGATTTCACTCCGAGTAGCTCTCTTAGAATGCAGAACCTTTCCTTTGGTAATGCCTTCGTGAAGATGTCTGCAACTTGATCTTGACCTTTGCAATAGATTAGATCCACCACTCCTTCTTGAATTGCATCTCTGATGAAATGGAACTTTCTTCCTATGTGCTTTGACCTTTGATGGAACACTGGATTCTTAGACATAGCTATAGCTGATGTGTTGTCACACATGATTGGTGTAGCTTCAAGTTGTTCTTCTCCAAAATCTCCTAGCACAAATCTTAGCCAAATTGCTTGAGTTGTTGCTTCTGCAGCACTGACATATTCAGCCTCTGCAGTTGATAAAGCAACACTGTTTTGCTTCACTGAGGCCCAAGAAAATGCACCACTGCCAAATGAAAAAGCATACCCAGATGTGCTTTTCATATCCTCCTCTGAACCACTCCAATCACTATCGCAAAAACCAATTAAGACAGCAGATTTTCCAGACACATATTCAATGCCAAAATCCAGAGTTCCTTGTACATACCTCAATACTCTTCTTGCAGCGCCAAAGTGCTTCTTTGAGGGACCATGCATAAAACGGGCAAGCAAACTAGCTGAATACATGATGTCAGGCCTAGTTGCTGTAAGATACAGCAAACTCCCCACAATTTTCCTATAGGTCTCCTCATCTGCAAGCTCACTTTCATCTTCTCTTTTGAGTTTCTCTGTTGGAACTAGTGGTGTGCTCACTGGTTTGCAGTCCTTTAAACCAAATCTGTTAAGTAGAGTCTTGGCATACTTCTGTTGATGAATGAAGATTCTCCCTTCTTTCTGGATTACTCCCATTCCAAGGAAGTG